AGTCATTAGACTTCCTGGCTCTTTAGAAAGCATTGCAGAACAAGTCATAGTGAAAAGATAGTGGAAGAGAGTGAAAGAAACTTGCTTTAATTTTTGTTTTAGCTTTCTTCTACAAACCTTAATTAAAAATCTTAAATTAACTTGTTTTTATTTCCTGATAATGTATTTACAGTAAAACCTGAGATAACATTTCTAATGAGAACATATATATGATAACTATGTAATAACAATTATTCCAAAACAACAAAACACAGGGACAGTTCACGCCATTACTTTGTTGAACACCTACAGTATCACTGCACTGTCTAATGTCTATGTAATTTACCCAGTGTAGCATGGCTGTAGTATTATTTATCCTTCTTTATTATCTTCTTTAATACCCCCTTTGTTGGTATTATTATTGTTATAATGATGATCATTCTACTGTTTTGCATGTATACTGAGAATTTCTGCACCTGAGAATAATTCCTTGTAGGTCTAATCACACTTAGCCAAATAAAGTCTCCTCTCCTCTCCTTAGCCAATGCACTCTCTATTGTCCTTATTATTCCATTATCCCAAACCCTCCTTTCAACTTTGCCCTTAAAGTAGATTTAAGGGCATAACCTCTCATACTGCTGTCACAAAAATGTTAAGGACACTGTATGAATTGCATTACAACTCAAAACAATTCTCTTTCCTTTATCTTTCCAAAGTCTTATACATTTTGCAAGTCTATTATTTTAATATGACTTGTTTTTCTTAATTTTCCACCAAAACAAGACCAGATGGAGAAACAAGAGCATTTAAATTAATAGGATCACTACCCTTTTGTTTTTGAGTTTATTGAACAGAAACACTACAAGCAAATTGTGAATCACTGAATGGCGTGGGCAGATATTTTTCACTAATATCCTTGAATAGTTTTTCTACATTCAACCCACTCCCAAAACACATTATTTACTAATATTTGCCAATGGCTTTTTCAGAAAACACACTGTCCAATAACTAATGTATCAATACAGATAGTCCTCAACTTATAACCATTTGTTTAGTGACCACTCAAAGTTACAACAGCACTGAAAAAAGTGATTAATGATTGTTTTTCACACTTATGACTATTGCATCTATGGTCATGCAATCAAACTTCAGATGCTTGGCAATTGGCATGTGTTTATGATTGCAGTGTCTCAGATCATGTGATCACCTGTTGCAACTTTCTGACAAGTCAATGGGAGAGCCATATTCATTTAACAATTATATTACTAACTTAACAACTTCAGTGATTCACTTAACAACTGTGGCAAGAAAGGTCGTAAAATGGAACAAAACTGACTTAACAACCACATTGCTTAGCAACCAAAATTATGAACTCAATTGTGGTTGTAATATTTCCGTACAATTGTTCTTTTCCCTGAGGACAACAGGCACTTCCATTACAAGAATATTATACAGTATTTATCTAATACTTAACCTACACTATTTTGTTTTTCAGAAAATCACCTATTTTGCCAGCTAGCACCCTCATAAAAATGTATTTATTATGAAGAATATTGTTGATATTTCCTATAATTCTTTCTTGGCTGTTTTACTAGTTATGTTTAGTAGTCCGTTAAGGATTTAGAGGCAGCATTGAAATTTACTGACATTGTACATCTTTAGAAACTGTTTATGCAAGCAATGTTCTCTCTTCATAGAATCTGTGCATAATTGTATTTAATATTAAAGTGCTTTGGTACTTAAGGATAATCACCTTTTACAGAAATATGATCATTCCTCCAATATGACAGCCAGTATAATTAATGAGTATGATTAATGCTAGACTGATATTAGAGACACACAGCTTTAAAATGCCATACATCCATGAAAATTATTCAGTTAGACACTTTCTTTCCACTTAATCTATACATTATTATTGTTGGATGTTTATGTTGTAAACTACTAAAACTCACAGCAAGTACAACTGAGATCAAATCTAATCAAATAATCAATAGGGATTGGTGTCTTTGAAGAAAAATGTAGGGAACATATAATAAATTAAAAAGGAGAATGATGAAAATCAGAAAAGTCTGCCTTTCTATGCACATTCTCAATTGTTGCTATTTTGTTTTCAAAGTCAGTGAGCTGAAGTAAGCCACTGTAACCAAAGGCAACTATACTCTCCTGCACCAGAATCCCATTTTATATTGCCATATGCAAGAAAAGAGAATAGAGAGAAAGGGCAGAATGACTCTGTGGCAAAGCTATTTATTCCCCATAACATGCAGACTGGGCATTAAGCTACCGAGGATTTGAGGAAGTTAATCTATTTTCCTTCTCTGTCTCTGGTTTTGCTTTCCTAGTCAGAATCATAAGCAAAACCATCTGGGGACTTTTAAAGCTTCTCAGATTAAATGATCACACTGTAATTTGCATTTTCCCCTTCAATCCATATTTAACTCAAGAGTTTTCATACTAGTAACAATTCATTAACAAGTGAAAATAAAAGGAAATGTCACCCAAAGTAATGGGGCTGGCAAATCTACCTGAAGTCAGATAAATCTGAGTGTCTACATTCAATAATAGGTTACTGTTTTTCTCTCGGAAAATACAAAACAATTCATTATTCTACTCATTTATATGCTTTTCCATATAAACTTTCTCCATGGCTTCTGGATTGCACACAGAGTATTTTTTTCAATTTTATTCTCCCTATAAAGTAAATTATATATTTTAATATATATATATATATATATATATA